TGCTGCTGCTGCCGCAGGGCAGCTCCTCCCAGGAGGAGGAGCAGCTTGACTTTGACAGCCTGCACCAAGAGCTCTCCGCCGTCGTAGCGGGACTCCTGTTTCCGCACGTGCCGCAAGCGCCGGTCTCCTCATTTATCACTCTTTCTAAAGGCTCAGTCTCCTCAAAGGAGCTTTTTCTCACAGCAGATCCAATGTGCTTATTTGTTGTTTGGCCACTGAGTCTCTCTGAGCAACTCCTGGTTTCTGATGCAGTACATCTTTTGGCAGTGACCTTCCCCTTACTCACTGTTTCTTCAGTGGTACACACGGTGTCTACACATTTTGTTTCTGTTTTTAAGGTTGTGATGCAAGCTCCCATTTTGGCTTCCCGTGATGTGGCTTTATGAATCCTGCAAGTATTTTCAAATACTTCACACACTGACATATGATGCTGTGAATGCATTGCAAGGATTTTCTCAAAGTTTGCTTCCCCTCGAAGAGTAAGTTTTTCCACGGCGCCCTTATAACTGTCTGGAACGTAAGACCTGGCATCAGAATTAGGGAAATTTCTGACCTGCAAGCCCTTCTTAACGGATGTGACCAGCGCCATGATCCCTTTGGCTAGTGCTCCCTTGTCTCCATCTTCTGCAACTGAAGCGCTGTACGCGTCCAGTTTCCCCATGGCTTCCTTACAGAGCCGACTCATGTCACGGAGCCTCTCGCTCTCCCCATAGAGCCATCGATGCACCGTTGTGAGACAGAAAGCAGCTTTAATAAAGCTATGGAGCTCCTGCTTGCTGGTGACAGGACTGTCTTCATTCTTGGTGAGGAGGCCGATCTCAAAGGACTCCTTTGCTTCACACAAGTAGAACTTTTTTCTTTCCGGGGGACAATCCCTGGAGTGACTGTAGGACAGCAAACATGTCCCACGGATGTTCTGCAGGGAGGAAAGACTTAAGATCGATAAGCCCGATCCTCTGTTGCAAATAAACAATTTCTTTCCTTCATATAATTTGAGGCATATATTGGCTTGGGCTGCCTGCTGCTGTACTTCCAGCAGGAAACAATCTTACTTGTTTTCCTTTTAAATGCCCATCTTTCTCTGTTCAGCTTCAGATTGGAGTTCTGTATAATGTGTAGCATCACACCCACAACGCAGACAGGAACATCCCGAACAATGCAGTGTTTGAAAGCTGACTCCAGATCTAAATTTATTAACCTGGACTCTTCTCTTACTCAAATGACTCTTTCAGAATGAGGAGGAATCACACTTACCACCGCTGTGAGCACGAAGAGCGGCGTGTACTGGCTGTAGGCTGCTGCCAGCTTGCAGGCCTCTGCAGCTGATAACAAACGATGGCTGAACTCTCCAAGAAGGCGCTGGTAAAATGGAAAACAGACACACAAACAAAGAGGCTCAGCCCAGAGGCTTTTTTTTTTCCAAAAGAAGACTCTATGTGAAGTCACAGGGATCTGTAGGTTCGCTAAGCTCTCTGACGCCTTCAAATCTTTCGAGACATCAAATCTTACAAAACAACAGCCAGGTCTGTTGCGATTTTCGGTTCTGCAGGAATCTTTTTACTCAGCTGCACTATACATGTGTCACCTTTTGGCTTGATAAACATGCTATAATTTTTCTATTAAATAATACATATATTTATATTACATTTTATACGAATGCAAGCATACATACACACACACAATAAATATTTTGATGTGTCTTTATTCTAAAACAAAGTGCTTTTCCTGTGTAGTTGCTAATGAACTTTTCCCACTAGAGCAGTGGAGCTCTCTTCAGTCTCTCAGCAAAGGAGAAGAGCTGGAGAACAAACTAAATATGCATAAATTTGGAACAAGTACAGATAATTCAGCAGAAGAACCTGCAGACAAATATCAAATCTTACCAGGTCAATCTCAGCACTGGTTTGAAAACGGACATAATCTTTCTCGTTCATGGAAGCAAAGATGTCTGCCAAAATACCCAAGGAAGTAGCAATTCCCTGAAAAAGAAACGGAAAGATAAGGTAGAGCTTTTCCCCATATTTTGATTTTTGATGCTTATAATATGTTGGATGCTATTTAGAACACATCATAAAAAGCTCTTAATTTAATTATTATGAAGCCGATTAAGAAGAGAGGACTTCTTAATGGGCTTTTATTTATCTAGCTTGCAGAAAATGCAGGCTGATGAAACATGTGAGGCTTCATGAATGTCAGGTATCCGGATTAAAAGTACCTCTAGGTTTGAACGGAAACTTGAATAGCACTGAATTTTCCTTAGCAGTTTTTCCCAGGTTCTTTTTGTGATAAAGTCTGGTCTTGTGGGATTACTGAAAATTGCAATAAACCCTGGCTAATCCCATCTGAAAAAAAGAGTCAAATCTGTTTCTACTGTTTTCTGGAAAAGACTATAGAAAATCAAAAACAGTGTTTAAAGTCTCACTAGTACATCCCAATCTTTCTAAAAAGTCCAAGGTGAAGATGTCTAGAAAGATGATAGAAGCAACAATGCTCATCACACGTAGCCTATGAAAACAAGCTATTTTGGGGACAGTAACTTATTACTCTATTTCAAAACAAATAAACAGAGTTGGACAAAAATCAAGAATTCCCAGTGTATTCATAGTATATATATATATATATATACACACACACATACATATGTATATGTTCACACACATATATATACACACATATATATATATAGACACTCACAGTGTATGATAGGGACATCAGCTAAAATATTTTCCTGAATTTTAACCTGGTCTGAGGCACATAACAGTTGAAACATTATTTCTAAAAGGGATTTTTTGATTGGCAAGGATATCTGGAATTGAAAAGGCATCCTACCTTTTTATCTGGTTGAGGAAGCTTGAAATATCCCACAACTGACGCCCAGATCAACTCTGCTGCTTCATACCACATCCCTGAAATAAAGCAGAAAAATAGTCACTAAAGCAGCTAACTGCTACAGATGGTTTTCAGTGGGCTAGGCAGTCCCCGGAAGAGCATAAAACCATAACATAGCACTTTTTGTTTTAGTGAGTGTGAACATTTATCAGTTTACTTCAGCTTTTAGGCCATCCATAAACGCACATTTTATGTTCATAAAAGACCTCAGCTCGACAGTCACTGAAATGAAAAGTCACACCAAAAGAACAGCATAAAATTAAGGTTGTAGATCTCAAGTACTAAACCACAAATACAGACGTTTGTCATACTCAAAAGCTAGGAAATTTCTTGAATTTACAGAGGAAACCATTGCAGTGTACTTATGATAAACTACTACTTGCCTTTGGGAATAGAAACTTTTGGAAGAAAAAAAGCATTAGCAAATATGGAATAGCACAGGAAAATATGGAACAATATTTGAAAATATTCCTTGACTTCTGGTCTGACTGGTTTAAAAAAAAAAAAGTGATATCTAAAATGTGGTCTCTAGGTAAATGGCTCTAGATCCTCAAGCAGATGCATACAACTCTGTAGCTGTGCTTGGACATCAGGCAGAAGTTTTACATAAGCTAAAACTTCTACATATAACATGTATATCATTTAGAGTGTTGACTGCAAAGAAAGAAAAACAGCAAAAAATTTGAACAGATGTTTGTGAAAAAGAATCTTACCCAGCTTTTGCAGAATCTGTCCTCTGATTTGTAAGCAGACTGACTGAACAAGAGTCCTATCACTTTCCTTAGCATATCTCCATGTACCTGAAAAGCACTGAAAAATTTAGTAGAGTACAAAAGGTAATGTTGTCATCCTAAGCCTCTAAGGGTTACCTAAACCCCAGCAAAGCACTGGGATTTTTTTCATTGAATTCAGCAGGGTGAGACAAGCCTTAGAGGCAGACAGATGACAAAAGTGACAGTACATGAAGACGACAGATTCAAACTTCTTGCTTCTGTATCATAGCTATACAGAACGTAAGAGCAACACAAAAATAAATAGTGTTGCTCATCTCTAACAAAAGGTCATTTTATATAAACATTAAACAGAGATATATTAAAAATCAATCAAAAGAATTAATATGGAAATATCTTTGTTACCATCAGTATACACAGGAGAGCACAATACATAATTTTAACCATTGATAAAGTATGCTTTCTTTTCAGGTATCAGTATTTTAAAACAACAGTTTTCATTTTAACAGAGTATGATTAGTTATACAAATCAAGTCATATGATGTCAAATCTGTATTTGAACAACTCGGTGTAGCATGAAATCAATGCAGTAAGCTTTCCTAAATAACACAAACATTTCATTGCCGTTCTCAATATGAGGTATCTGTTCAACAATGCATGTTCAACGTTAAACAAGTGTTAACACTGAATATTATGCATATAACATTAACAGCATAATCTCAGAAGAATTGTAATGCAGTGTTTCTTACAGACAGAATTACTTTAACATTGATATCTATTATTTTGTTCAAAGCTATTTTACATAAATGTAAGAGAACCTTGCGTTCAAATTAAATACAAACTAAAATAAACCAGAACAGTTTTCCTAAATTTCCTAATTGTCATGGCTTCAGGGAAACCTGAATTTATTGGCCAAATAATTCCTAAAGGATAGTAAGACACATAATGGATGTAAGCCCTAAAAAATACATAGTCTCAAGAATAGTAATTAAATAATGCTTTTTGGGTGTCTGCTACAATTAGTGAATTGGTGAAGGAAAATGAAGGTGGATTAGTGAAGCAAAATATATAATTTCTAAAAATCTCGTCAAGCTGTCAAGGATGTTCCCCTTTGTACACTTTTGCATGCCTATCCAGCACTAGAGGAAAGTGCTATAAGATCCAGGACTCTTTTTTTTTTTCCCTAAAGGACACTAAATAATTACATTGCAGCCTGTACACAGGCTTAGAATAAAGTATCCATTCAGTTCATAAGGTCAGTGTGATTTTGGAGGATATGCATTACACTAACCATGTTTGGGTTTGGGATTTCTTTTTTGGTCTTTGTTTTCAAGATCAGTCAACTTACTGAAATTGGTTTACATTTTAAAATTCTTAAGGCAGAGAAATTCATAGGGTGATCATCAATGCAAAATATTTTCCAAACAAGAGAAGATATACAAGCATTAATTACGGAAGTCTTAAAACAGAAAGTTAAAGTTTCCACAGTTTAGCTAAGAGAGGTGATGATAGAGAGAGGTACAACACAATGGGTCACTACTGAGATCTGACTGGCCCTATTTGAAATTCGTGTGACTATTACCATTAGTATAAAAAAATACCATCAAATAAGAGTTATGAAATTTGAAAAGATGAAATACATACCTGTTGCTCCATTGTCATTAATAAGGCTGCTTAAGATATATTCAGCTTTTAAAAGTTTACCTCATAAAAAGGATAGAAAAGTAATAATGTAAAAATGCATCATGCAACATGATTTGAACAAACACACTTATCTGTGAAATCCTTCTGCAAATTCTATTCATCTCCCCATCACTGTCATTGCACCACATTTAGTCTAAACTTTCCATTCAAATATGCACTGTTAGATTTTATCTCATGGTCAGAAATCTATTTTTTATCTGCTATTTGGAATATACAAAAATATTGCATTAAAAACAGCTGAGGGGGGTAGCTGTTTCTAGTTAGCCACTTAATTTAGAAAATGCCACGAAGAAGCCTGTTGTTATACCTACTACTTGCTGAAATCACTTACACATACATTTGTTTCTGTCCATAGTTCTGTTCATATGCTATGTGCTATACTCATGTGGTAGCACAGTAAGTTAAAACTACATGTGTGTACACACACACACACACATATATATATATATATAACTTAATGCTATATATTCCTGGAAGAGTGCTTAACCTTGAAATGGAAGAATAGCTTCCTCTTGTCAGGCTCTGATATCTCTGTTGAATTTCTATGCATGCTGTTCCTATTCTACCATGAGGCTTCTGTAAAGTGAATGTAAGGAGAGGCCAAAACCACTCTTCCTCTGAGAGAGAGGTAAAGCTGGCCAAGGGTTTTGGAGTAAATCCAGCTGCTACTACCAGCTTGATACTGTTGGCACATGGCTCGAGGCTCTCACTCTGCTCGTTCGCACTCTTTGGGGTTGCTGCTGGCTTCAGCGCATGGGGAGGTGGCAACAAGCTTGGGGCAGACACTGAGCTGCAACTCTCCCCTAAGGTGGGGAATCCCTCACTTTTCTCCTTTGCAGAAGAAAGCAGTTCAGCCTGGTTCCTTAGACAGCAGAGCTGCCTGTTGCTGTCTCAAGAAAACCTGTCTTTTCTCTTTGGGGAGCTTGCTATTAGGGAAGCTGAGCAGAGCCATCTCTAGGCCAGATAAATTGAGGTCCCAACGCAGAACACATAGCTGGGGCTATGCTGACTCCCTGTCATTCGCTACCTTGGCTTTGAAGAAATACTTTAAGCACAGAATTTGTAACTAAAAAAAAATCAGCGTAACTGGATGCAACAAAAGATGGGCATTCTGCATTTCAGCTGCTTGTCATATGCTACAAGTGTGTGACGTGTTTTTGTTGCATGTTTCATGGCCTGAATCATCCATGGCAGGCTTGATGGGCTGCAGGAAATGCCTAAGGACTAATTTGATCAGTTTTATTCATGATGAACCCTGCTTTTTATCATGATTGTCCAACCAAATTCAACAAGACTGCTCCGACAGTAGAGAACTGTAAATGCTGGCCAAACTAGCCCATAATTTGCATGTGCCAGTACCTTAATACCATAGCACATTGCAAGTCCACAGTCGCAGATAAAAACAGCTATAAAAAAAACCTAATAGTTCTCACTCATTAATGCAAATAAAATATTCCTAAACTGTTTTTCAAACTAAATCTGTTTTGACTTTGTTCTCACCAAAGGCACAGGGAGAAGACAGACTAAAATTCTTCCAGGTGCTGTCCATGCTGTAGGAACAATGGACATCATCTTTTCTAAATCAAATTTTATCAATTTGTAAGGTGCATTGTTTGCCTAGTCAAGTGGGTCTACTGAAGGGAAGAAAAAAAAAAGCAGCTGGGACAGTGCAGAGAAAATGGAAAATGCCAGGATTCTAATTCACTTTTTAAAGACCCTTGGTCAGAAGTATAGCAATTCATATACTCCTGTTTGAAACCAGCAGGGGAGATTTGTTAAGGAACAAAAGCTCCAATTAGTATTTTCCACACCCTTTCACAATTTTCTCTACTGCTTTTGGCTCTGACACCTTTTATACCAGCGCCTTTGTGCTAGTGAGAGGAGCTGGGGGCTCAAGGGGGCTGGGAGTGGGCTGTGCGTTTGAAACGATGGCACCAGGACGGTGGGCAGGTCATCCCCAGAAAGGGACAAAGTATCTTCTTGAAAGTCAAGTAGCTCCTAATCGGGACGGCGCTGCGAAAACGGAGGGCTGAGCGCTGCGGAGCGTGGTTACCTGCGCTGACGGAGAGGCGGGCCTGGCGAATGAGCCCCTGTGGGCCCAGCGGCGCCGCGGGCTGCAGCCGGTGCAGAGCTTTGGCGATCCGCAGGAGCTCGCCCGAGGCGTCGAGCCAGTACAGGAAGCGGTCAATCAGAAACACGATAGCGGCCGCTGTCACACAGTCCTTGACCATGATGGAGGCTTTCAAGTAAATCTGAAAAGAACACCAGTTGACGAGTCAGCCTTGAAGAAACTCAAGTAGGAAAGGCTCAGTTAGCTGTTTACAGAAAATATTCAGGTTTAAGAAGCCTCTGCCTCACAATGCTGCCTACAGACCACTTAAAAATACCTGCTGTGAGACAACTCTCTTACATAGCGAGTACTGATCATCATAACATGCAAATGCAAATATGCAAATATTAATAACATGCAAATATTAATCAAATATTAGCTGTTAAAAGGCTGTCTCAGCAGTCATCACTCAGCTTGTAAGTTCTTATATTTCTAGGCATGTATATATAGGAGAAAGCCTTGGGGATTGTGAGCAGATAGGATTTATTATTATCTCTAATTATGACTAATTCAGTCCCATTTTTAGTTTTAAGACAGGAAGGTTCCAGCTGTGTATTTTGTTAGTACTGTAGCCTTCATTCCCATTTTGTTTTTGTCTATTTGTTGTGTAGTATCTGGAACCATATAATTTGCTGCTCTGTTAACAAATTTAAATTACGCCCAACCAATTAGTAGCATTAACAACAATTAGTTCAAAGGGAATAAGAAACTGGAAATACTGGAAATGGTCACGATAGCAATTGTCCTAGATCAAGCTCAAGCTCTCCATACAGAAATGGGGAATGACCACTTGTTCTTTTGGGCATATAGACGGATGCTAAGGCACAGGCAGAAAATGTATTTTCAAACCATTTCTGAAAATGAGTCTTCTCTGAATATGCATGAACATGTAAATATCTACACGGTCTGATTTATCACTGCTGCTGATTAGTGAGTGCTCCCACTGACTTCAGTGGGAATACTACATTTGAGTTCTAGCCTTCCTGTTCTGCTTTTTCCTTAGAAGTGCCCTAGGAAACGAGGGACTCTCAGGGGACCTGTTGCTCCCTGTGGGACCAGGCCCTAAATATAAACAACCAGCATTAATGCAGCATTAAGACTGCAGGATCAAACGCTCCTTTGTACAACACAAAGGAACAAACAGGGCAGAAGTCCAATGTTTTTCCTTTGCAGGTCATATTTAATGATTTCTAAATCTGCATTAGGTCTCTCGGTGCTCCCACCACAGCAGAGCCTCCGGAGCAACACGACATGGAGGGGAAGGCAGCGGGGCAGCTGCGTGGAAGCACACGGCCCCTGCGGCTATCCAGGAATCCCCATCTCCAGAGAGCAGAACACTGCCCTCCCCATGGCACGCGCTCCTCCTGCTCGTGGGGCAAGCGAGCGCTCCGCACGCTAACACTGAGAGGTTTGCTTTCCAAAGGTCTGGTGGGGAGGGGGAGGAGGCAAAACACCTCTCTGATGCAGCTGTTTCCAGCTGGGTGTGATGAATGACTAACAGCAGTGACCAGAGTCTTCCCCTTTGTATCCTGTGTCAAAATCTCAGCACAGAAGACAGGATAAACAACAATATGAAATGATGTCTTTGCCTCTTAAACAGATTCTCTCTTACACAATTGCTGCAAAGCTTGAAGCAAGCCAGGGTGTGGAGGGGAGAAGCACTCAGCTCTGGAAATACAGCAATTGGCTGTAATGACAGCAAATCGTCAGCTAGGGAGGCTCACAAGTGCCAGGCACGGCCCTAATGTGACGGGTCTTGTTGGACATCCGCCCTTCAACAGCCTCATGTTGAGCCTGCAGAGCTCCTGCCCTTCTGCTTCCCAGCTTCACTCCAGCACCTTGGAGGTGGCAGTATTAAAGTACTGTTTTGGAGTATGTAAATCACAAGAGAAAACAAACAAACAAACCCACTACCTTGAAACCTATCAAGTCCCTTCATGAAAAAGATGTGTGTCTTTATCTTCTTGATGTCAGCAAGTAACTCCAGCGATGACAGACTTAAAGAAACACAGAGAGGGAGAATCAGGCCCCACTGCACCACCAAAGAACCAGAGACTGGCAAGAAAACCTCATGCAAATCCACAGGGGAACAACGGAGTTTGGCAGCTCTCTCTCATTTTTGCCTGCAGCATGTTTCTTCTACTTGCCTTCCTGCAGCACGTGAAGCGTTAGAGACCTGAGAGCATGGAGCCAGGCACCTGACTTTCGCTAGCTACTTCGAAGTACTAGGGCAAATTCCTTGGGCTCCTCCCCAGCCTAACCTGCTTCTAGACCACAGTGACAACCAGATTCAGTTTGATTTTTAGCAGAAAAACTACCTCCCAACCTAGAGGAGGAATCTTTGCAGCTTGATCAAAAAACACTTACTGGCCTCAAAAGCACAGAGCCCTTGGAAGCACAGGAGAAAGCCTATTTCAGAAGGTTAGAAGAGCCTGCAACACATGGCATGAATGCTGGATTGCATTACTGATCTGCAGCAATTATTTGCTGGCTTGTTTGCACTTCAGCGAGGCCGATTTGTACAAATTTCCTTTTTTTTTTTTTTTTTCCTGAGCCCAAGTTGAGTTTTCTAAGAGGATGGCACTTGAAAAGGATTCCTGGAGCCCCGTGCACGCAGCAGCGCTGCTTGTGCCCACTGACAATGGAGGAATCCCCCTCTCCAAGCACCTGTAAACTGACACTGCAAACTATCCATTCGAAATGCTCATGAACAGGCCATATATTTAAGCACAGAGCATCGCCTAATCTATTTTTTTTCCTCCCCTTCTTCCTTTAATAGATCGGAGCACAAAAGCCTGAGAGAGGGTGACCTACCAAACAAAAGGGCCTTTGAGTCCCTAGGAAAAGTAGACTTGGAGGAGGATGGAAGGAATCCAAGTGGCCCTATTATTTCCACTTGCACTAATTAGACATTTTTCTGTCAGCTATTGAGCACTGCTGAGAGGCCAAACTCACTGAATTCATTTCTAAAGTGTTTACAGAAGTTTGCATCTGTTTGTGTCTCTTCAGGAGGAAAATAAGCACTTCAATAGCATTGTGGAAAATCTAAACGAAGCATCCTATTCTGAAGGGCTTGGCAGTCTTGCAGCTGCATAATTTAACTCTCTGCTCAATGCTGAAACCTCTTGTGTCCCTCTCCAAAACCAAATGGACACAAAATGTAGAAAAGTCAAGCCAGAGAGAGAAACTCTGCTATTTTTTTTAAAGGCAGGGCTGCATGCTGTGTGGCACACAGAAACATGGTTCGGTGTCAGTTCTTGCAATTATGTCCTGTGTTGCTAGCAGTACACCGAGAAATTAATACCCACTTCTTTCATTCACTGCCAAATTGTGTGACTGTAAAATTCCTTAGCACCTCCAGATAATGCACTGTCGTGCTGGGCACATACACAAAACATGCACAAAGACACTCCCCTCGCCACTTCTAAATGAAATGCGAGAGAGGCCCTAATACGGCTCTCTGTCACCCAGCACAGACCCAGGGAAACTCTATTGACTTCAAAGATGTAGCAGCCTCGCTGAACACAATCAGAAATCCAGCCCTGCTCACCACATATGGGCACTTTGTTCTGCATAGCGGGCTAGCACAGTAAACAGATTTACTCACTTTCTTTATCATTTTAAAGCTTACGTATACGCATCTACCCAGAGCGAGAGAGAGGTACGCGCACACTTTGTTTTAACATCTGTGTCCATGATGTGAAATGCATATGTCTAATTGAGTTTATGACACAAAGGGAACCTCACGGCTGGGAAGTGGAATCAGGTGGTGACAGAATTAAATTTGCACGAGATTTCTATACATGGACCATTGGGGAAAATGCAAAACAGCCTTTAGTGAAGGGTTTTTCCTTAATGGCCATGAGTGGGAGGGTGTGCTTTTTGCATGGTTTCCTGCATTAGTGTTTTAGCTCCTCCTCACATCGCGCCTGAAGTTTGGGTCCCAGCTTTGGGTTCAAAGCCACGATGCCTCCTTTGCATTGACAATGGGGGCTGTTCCCAAGAGAGGGGAGAAGCTCGAACCGGAGCCATCTGGCACTAGAACTGGCAGGAAAGCGTCAAAGGGAAATTATTGGTGCATAGTAAATGAGGCTGAGGAGGAGGGGAAGAAAATAGGGGAAATCTTTATGTGGCAGCTGATGTAAGAGGAATTACAAGCACAAATAAATGAAATATTGATTTAATCCACTCTCTCTGCCCTCTTTATAAAGCAAGGATCCCATAGGCAAACCTCACACACAGTGTGCAGACTGGGGAGGGTCTCCCTTGGAAAGACGCCTCTGCAAGCGGTAAGGTTAGAAAGCATGGGGCAGAAATCATTTATTTTGCAGAGTATGACCACAGCTTGGAAAACAGATGAAAATAAGCAAATATCATAGCTCAAACTTAGACCGTATTTGTCTTAATTTGTAACTGCAGCTGAAATTTAAAAATATTAAAACAAACAAACAAGCAAAAGAAAAAAAACACAAAAGCAGTCAGTCAACAAAGAAATTCTAATTCCGTGCCCTGGGCAGGAGTTTCAATGGCATGTATTTCCAGGTGCCTTAGTTCTCTCTCTCAGGATCTCTCCCTAGTTAGCACATCACTGAAATGCATGAACCCGAACAAATTGCTCACTTTTTTTCCTACATTCGTCCCCTGTCGGATTAAATGCACAGTCAAAACACCAACGGATTTAGCTGAAGTCTCACCCTTTTACCCCACGCACTGTTAGCAAAGCCTGCATTTCCAAGAGACCAAATCTGCTGTCACTGCACGGGACTTCTCTATCAATCTCTGCCTTTCAGCTGGCAATCAGTGCGCACTCTACAAATAACAATGAATTAAGCCTCCTACCATCTCTGTGATGGGGAGAAGAAAGCGTGTCCGCAACGCACAGATGGATAAGCTTGAAATGCAGGGCAGTCAAGTCCCATAGCAAACAGTTGCAGACTCAGGAATAAGAGGATTCAGGACACTCACCTCTGCTCAGATCAGGAGAGGGCACAATTTGATGGCTTGAGCTTCTGAAACTGTTAATTAGCTCAAATTATTCATTCTCAAAGCAATGGAAAGTTGAGGGTTTATTCGATGAAAGCAGCATTCAGTCCATTATTAGCAGCTCAAAATACCATAGAACAGGCCAGTTTTTACAGCCAA